GTCTTCTCAGGCGGCCTGAACCAGAGCCCGAGAACCTGGCAGACTTATTTTTCCAATTAAGAGAATGTCCCTCAAGCAATTCACAGGGCTGAGACCACCTTCCCGAGTCGTGAAAACGACAAGGGGCCCTAAGCACTTTCCTCAGTGTGCACTTTCCTCCCCTCACACATACCCACTCCTCGGGCCTCCAGGGAGGGGTGGGGCGGGGCGGCCACCACAGGGTCTGCTGGAAGTGCCGAGGGACCCTTGGTTTGGGAACAGTGTGGCCACCACTGAAAGTCAGGTCCCTGGGGGTGGGGGCTGCTTTAGGGGCACTGAGCAGGAGGCGGGTGGGGCACAGCAGCCCTGGCAGCGGCTGACCCAGGCAGCTGTGTCGGCTGCATGAGGTGGTGACCGTGCCCTGGCACTGCGCCATGGTGGGGCTTGGATGTGGGCAGAGCGGGCGGGCAGCGGCTCCTCCTCAGATGCAGATCTAACGGCACGGCGTGTCCTTCTCCAGGCCCAGGGCTTCGAGCAGCCACATCAAAGCAGTGGGGACACTCCCTCACCCCATGGCTGTGCCGGGTCCTGCCCTCGCTGGGGGTAGGCGCTGCTGCAGGTGCCGAGGGGACGGGCGGAGGGTGGGAGGTGCTGAGGGCGAGTCAGTGAAACAAAGAAACGAGTCTCTGGGAGCAGGTTGCCGGCCTGTAGTGATGGGCAGACATCATATCCTAGACCAAGGATCTGGCAGCCTGCCCCCCACATCCCCCGTCTCCATGAGCCACACGACCTCAGCACCAGGGCTTAGGGGATGGTTGTGACCCTCCCAGAGGGCCAGATGTGAGAGCTGGAGAGGTAGCGGGTGTGTGCAGGGTGCAGTGGGATCCCAGGAGTAGCACTCCTGTCACTCAGCAGCGCCTGCGAAGTTCCCCAGGGGCTGGGTCTCAGGTGCAGGAAAAGAAACTTCCAATGCTTTTGGGAAGTTGCCATTGAGGTAAAGGGAGGTGCAGTGTCCAAGGTGAGAGATGCTTCTGCGGTCAGGACCTGCCTCAGAGCAGCAGTGGGACCCTGTGCTACTAGACCCCAGGGTCCCCTCCTTCTGCCCATGCACCCACTCACCATGGTGAGGGAGATGCAGCATGCCAGAGGGGCTTGCCCAGATGTGCCCCCTCATTCGCCATGCCTGCCCCTGGCCCCTTGTGTGCCAGGACATGATTGCAGCTCGCTGACTTGTGAGGTGCCGCTGGTCCTTCCTGCAGATGTTGGGTGGCACACTGTGCGATGCTGGCCCCAGCATTGGCCAAGGAGGGCGTCCTTACACGGTGGAACCCAGAGTAGGGGGCAGTCAGTGGTGAGGGCTAGGAGGGCCTGGGACACCCAGCCTCCCCAGGACACTTAGGCCGGGGCTTTGCCGCTGAGGTTGCCCCTCGTCTAGGGGTTTCTGGACCAGAGGCGGCCTTGCTGGGCCTTCTGAACCTCCTTCAGACCCATCAGTGCTCCCGTGAGGATCCGGTTCCCTAGGGCTCTCCTGGGCTCCATGCCACATGAGTTTGATGGCAGAGCAGCAGAGCCACTCCCTCACAGGATGGGAGGAGACCTGGGCTCTCTGCCACGGGGTGGCCACTGTAGAGAAGTCAAAAGTTTACCTCTACCCTCTCAGGGTTTTCTGCTGGGCCTGACAATTAAACCGACGTCAGACAGATCAATAGGAGAAAACATACAAATCTGTTCGATGCAAGTTTCACGTGCCACGGGGGCCCTCGTCAGGAAATGGAGACCCAGAGAAGCCGTAAGCGTCAGTCACTTATGGGCTGACTTGGACAAAGGGTGGTAGGTTGTGAAGAGCCACTAAATCAGATGGGGAGGCTTACAGAATTCTGTCAGTCTCGACTTCCCGTCCTCGGTGGTAGGAATGTTGCTTTCCTTGCAGTGCAGGAAGGGCACCTTTCACGTGGGAATTTCATCGCCTGCTTTTAAGAAAGAGAAGTGGGCCGGAGTGACTCCCTTCACCTGCTGCATTTTCAGTGCCTTGAATTCAGAATGGTCAATATACCAGACTAGTGTGTTTTGAATTCTTTTGCCCCTGAGGCCTGTGGTGGTTCCCAGAGCCTGCAGGGGCTCCGTGAGGGGCCACGTGGGGAGCGTTGCTGGATGAACGCAGGTGTCAGCCATCAAGTTTGTCTTGGCGTCATCCCTGGACCTTCTCGGAGGACACTGTGCTGAGGGGCGGGTGCCTGGCCCTGGGGGCCCGTGGGCTGGTGAAGCAGAAGGCGTGTGAGATGCCGAGGCTTTGGCTGTCCTTGCGTTCGGCGAACACCCGAAGCCCTGCTCCTGCCCGGCTCTGCGGACCGAGTCTCTACCGTCCCAGGAGTTAAGTTGAGGGACAGGCACAGAAAACAGCGAGCAGAAGCATCGGAGCATGAAGTAAGGGCTGGAAATAAGGAGCAAAAGCAGACACGGAGGGGTTCCTCCTTCCAGGAAGGGGCTCTCTGAGGAGGTGACGCGTCACAGAAAGAGAGTCCCCAGCTCAGGTAACAGCAAGCACCTGCTGCCAGGTGGGCCAGGGCCTGGAATGTTCTAGGAAGGGTGGGGCAAGGAGGTCGGAAGTCAGCCTAGAGCCAGGTCGTGGGGAGGAGACGGGTTTTGTCCTGACAGCAGGGGCCGCCCTCGGCTTTCATCAGGAGCAAGCGTGGCCAGGGTCCACTGGGCGGGGATGGGCACAGCGGCTGGAGTGGAAGCTGAGGAACAGGTGCGTGGCCCTGGCCACGTGGGTGAGTGCCAGTGGCAGCTGTGGGACCAGGAAGGGACAGAGGAGCTGCAGGAGGGAGATGGCTGGGACAGGCGAGGCCAGGGTTCCGGGATGCTCAAGTGAGGGCCGCCGACACATTCTGCTTCTTTCCCACGTGGCTGTGTCTCCCCACATGGCAGGATCGCTGCCCTCTAAGCAGCAAGAGGCCCAAGCTGCCCGTTGTCACGGGGGGATAGGAGCAGCGTCCTCCCTGCTCCCTCCTGCCACACTGCGGGGGTCATGGACCTGCCCCAGCTCTCACAGAGGAGGCTGAGCCTTGATCGAGGCTGCCTCGTTCCAGGGCGGTGGGAGGAGCCCGGAGCCCACGCAGGGTCTGGGAGCAGCGGGACTTGCAGGCTGTCGACCGAGTCCAGACCTCCCGGCTTCTGCTGGCCTGGCTGGAGCTGCAGCCCTCTGTGCCACCAAGAGGCCCGTCCTTCCTGCCTCCAGCGATGTGGTCGGCATATCCCCTCTTGAAGCACCAGAGAATTTTCTCTTTCAGAATTCCACTGAATCCTGGAAATTCAGGCAGCAGGGTCTGCATGAGGCGGGCTGAGTCGCTACAGCTCGATTTCCCCTCGTGGGGAGGGTGCCCCTGCCTGGCTGGACCCCACGCCCACCTGAAAGTTGGTGCTCTTCCTGCGTTGCGCCCACGTGATTAGGAGCCGACTCTGTCCTTAGGAGCGGGACTTATTCTGGGATGTGACGTGTCTGCGTCAGGCGTTTCCCAGCGTCTGTGGCCTTGCATTTCAGCCATTGGAGGATGTTGCTTGTGGTTCTGGCTGAAGTCTGCATGAGAAGCCCATTTTACTGCTCCAGGTTGACAGTCTATGACAGGTAGCCCCACATCAGCCAGGCCTTCCAGCTCCAGCCACAGCCTGCTCTTCAGACGGCAGCTGGGAGGGTGGTCTCCACTTGTGGTATGTTAGAATCTCCAGGGGGGCTTGGCCTGGTGTCAGGTCCGAGAGCCACTGGAGGAGCCCTGGGGTTCTCCTTCCCCAAGCCTTGGCCAGGAGCCCCTCGGGCAGCCCCACAGGCACCCCCCTGCCTGCCACTGCCTTCCTGGCCCCAGATCTTCTGCCAAGGAGAGAGAAGAACCCAGCAGGAATCCTGAGAAAGAGCTTGCAGAGCCAACGTGATCAGCAGGTGATGTGGCTGTCAATGGGCGTAACTGCACTTCATCAAACTCAGTTTGGGAACTGCTGGTGCCTGGGCTCTTTCCCTCTCTTTTTGTCAGTCTGCATTTCTGGCATCTTCCCCAGAGCAGGAGGCCGTGGAAATCACACCAGGACACAGGAAAACGCAGGTTATGCCCGTGCTCCGCAGGCCCTCTCGGCGGGGTCTGGGTCTGCACCCCGCGCCCGGGGCAGCTGGCCAGGGAGGGTGTCCCGGATCCTGTGGGCAGCTTTTGGGTCATTTTGCTGAAATGTGAAGAACAATACAAAAAGGCTCGTTGCCCTAAAATGTGTGGCCTCCTGGGTGGGAGGTCCTCCAAAGGCCTCGTGGTATGACCCTCGCCCGGGGTTCTGTCCTGGACATCTGCACATCTCCTTGATGGAGAGCCTCAGAGATGGCTCTGGGCTACCCACCGAGAGACCCCTCCACGACCTGGATGGGGATGGAGGGGCTGGCTCCACCGCCCACGGTTTGCTCCTTAATTCTGGTTTCCCTCCGGAGACGTTGTCCTTGATTCTGATTGACATTCCCAGGCCACGAGGGACTCCCTGCCCGCTTCTCACCCTCTCCTCACTTTGACCCCCCCTGCCACGCAATTAGCGATGTGTTAGCAATGTGTTAGCAATGTCAGCACTGCTAGCTGACACTGGCAGTTCAGTGCTCAGAGGGCTTCGCACCTTGAGAGCAGTGTGGGTACCGTCATCCCGGAGGGTCCCTGTTGTGAGGGGAGCGCTGGGCGAGGGCTTCCCGGGGACAGGGCTCTGTGCTAAGAGGGTTCTCTCATCCATTCCCCAGCAGCCTCGAAGCCACTTGCTGCTCTGAGCCCCGGGGAGGGGGTACTGAAGTTTAGGAAGGTGAAGCCACCTGCCCAGGCTGCGGCTGGCTCGGGCCCCCACCTGGGTGCGGTGAGGCTGGGTCCTGCCTGCTTGCAGAAGCTGCCTGTTCACAGACTTGTCTCACCGCAGATTGAAACCCTGGTTGTTTCAGAGTCTCGTGTGCCGTGTCTGCGAGGTGCGGGGACCACGTGCGTCCTCACTGAAGCACCCTTTGCCCACAGGTGTGCATCGTGCAGAAGCGGGACACGGAGAAGATGTACGCCATGAAGTACATGAACAAGCAGCAGTGCATCGAGCGTGACGAGGTCCGCAACGTCTTCCGCGAGCTGGAGATCCTGCAGGAGATCGAGCATATTTTCCTGGTGAACCTCTGGTTAGCTCACACCTGGGGCTCCGGGCTGGGGAGGGCCGTGCTGCAGAAAGACCTGCCACCCCGCCCCAGGCTGCCCCACCTGGTAACCCTGATGCCCACAGGCCCTCCCTACCCCTTCCACCAGCTCCCTTCCTGTGCCCTGGGCAGCACGGGTCCTGGCTCCCCAGCATGTTGAGGTTAATGCAGGGTCCTCCCCGGGCCTGCTGGAGCCCAGGGCTTACCCACAGTGGAGGTCTGCTGCCCATGGAGTTCTGGCTCTAAAGTCAGTGGGGGAGAGGTTAGGGTCTGACCTGAGTTTCCTTTAAGAAATGAGCACCAAGACCAGCTCCAGGGAGGTGTAGAAACCTGCAGACTGCTGCGAGGCTCACCCCCTCCTCCCCGGAAGTCCTCCCAATGCAGAGGTCCTTGTCAGTGCAGGGGACCCCCCCAATGGCCTCCCGCAGTAGGCTTTGTGCTCTGAGGTGCTCACAGCTGGGCGTTGTCCCTAAAAGCTCCTGCAGAGCACAGGGTGCTCCTAGCACCTGGACAGTCATGTGATACCAGCCCTGGGAGATTTAAATCCTCCTCCCCCGCCCATGCAACCCAAGTATCTGTCAGCTGAACTAAAGAAAGAGGCAGCCCCACCATCACTGGGGATAACAGAGAGTAGGGGCAGGTGCATTCTGTTTGAAAGGGGACCCGGTGCCAGTTTTTTCAGGGGCTCACTCAGAGCCTAGACTGCCCCTACCTGGTTATTTACCTGGGGTCACCACAATAGGAAGGGGGACTTCAAAGTGGACAGGGGCCATGTCCCAGAAGCTGATGACATGGCTCAGGAATGGTGTCATGTGGCTCTGCTCTGTGGTTCCTGGGGAGAAGGAGCTGGATGGTGCCGTGGTGGGGAGTTGGCCTTGCGAGGGCGGCTGTGCCTGTGCAGATATGGGGAGATGCTGATTGAAGCCTCAGGGCCCTGGGGTGTCACAG